CAACCTAGCCGGTATTTGAAGCAAGAAGGATCCGTGATGGCAACAGATTTTTGTTTGTCACAGTAAAAAGTATGTTTCTGTGACTGCAGGGTTACACCAAGGTAGTACAGACTGAGTATATTGTCTCGCAGCATCTTCTCCCCTTTAAATAACTGTTCTTGGTGGTTGACTGAGGATTATTTTCCACATTTTCCGTGTTCATAGTTTGATGCCTTCAAGGTCCACATCATCTTCAGATCCAGTCATATTTTAAAATAAGGAGTGTATTGATGTGAATCTCTCTTTCCATGTTCCTTAGGGGAAGAATGCAATGGACCCTTAGGTGAAACTATTTCAACTGCAGGATCGGAAATCCCAAGCAGCTCTGAGGTAAGGCACAGCATGGATGGTGTTAGCTAATGCACTGCTGGCAGGAAGAAAGAAGAGTGGTTGCTGTGAAAGACACAATTAGTTTAAAAACTAATATTTCTTTTAGATTGTCTTCTACCCCCTTTTCGTCCGTGTAAGCATTTCCTGCCTGTGTTGTTTTGAAAGAGCAAAACTGTGAATGTAACACTGACACTCCCTGAGTCTTATTATAAAATGAGACTTACCAGTGTCAGTGCTACAACACAGTAGTGGTAGAAAACAGTATGAACTTAATGGTGTTTCCAGTATTAGTCTTGAAATTAGAATCACACAGTAATGAAGGGTTTGGGCAACTGGAAAAACATAGTGTTTCTGCACAAATCAAACACTTTGTTTTAAGCTGGGGCCTGCTGGGGAGATGGAAGCATGTGTATTCTGCTGCTCTAGGAACGTTGTGGCATGATGAGAAAGCAAATGAAGGTTTGAGTTACTAAAACACCTCTTCCTTGCAACATGTGCAGCATGAAAAGCACCATCAGCTATTCATCTTTTCACTTCATTGCCTAATGTGTGCAGTACACACTGTCTTCACGAGGTAGCAGTGTGTGGTTAGTATTCAGTTAAGAAACAGATGCAGAAAGAATATTGGAAAGACACGTTCTTGAAATTGCTATTTTATTTTCATTCCTGTAGTCTGATTTCTTTATTGCTGGTATAGGCTTAGAGGAAGAGAGGAAGAGTTTCAGATAGGAAGAGAAACAACTGTCCTGTCGAAGTAGGGTCTTACACTGACCATGAGCACTCATCAGGAATGATGTCTGTAAACTGAGTGTTGAAAACTTCAACTGTTCTGCTGAGCTTCTTAAAAGTAAAACATGTCCTCACCTTCCCCTAAGGGTCAAATCTGGAGATGATCACATGAGAACAGAACTCAGAAGGGCTTCCTAAATTTCACAGATCTTTGTCTTCCTAGAGCGTGCAACCATATCATCCAAATGTTTCCATATATCTACCGGTTCCATCTTAAAACTTGTTCCTGTGTTCACCCTGCTGCTTTCTGAATCTGTTGGAGGAGTTGTAATCATCTTTTTTCTCCAGGAGAATGTTCAGTGAGCAGCTGTGTCAAATACTTCAGTGAGCAATGGGCAGACATGATCTCCAGTTATAGTGTGTGAGTCATCATGCCATGATAAGCTGATTCTGAGTTACTTGTCTCTGAGTGAATGGAGATGACCTATTTCCCCAAAGCTTAAAAAATTCACTTCAAGCCTTAGGAAGGACGAAAAAGCAGGGAACATGGGAGAAAGGGTGCAGTGCATGTGTCATATATGTAGAGATACAGGATTTGAACCTTTTTTGAAGGGTGAAAGATTCATTATGGGGTGGGAAAGGAGGCTTTGATCTTCAGCACATTCTTGTCTGGGAAAAATACATCTGGTTATCCTCTCAAAAATCTCTCCTTGATAACTTTATGCAGCCTTTTCACTTGTTTCTTCTTGTGTTTGCTTGCATAAGTATTTTTTCTCTTCATTTGTTCATAAATACCTCAGAGTATTTTCATGTTAGCAATATCAGTCTGAGTTGACGTGACATCTTGGGGTTTTTGTTTTGTTATTTTCCTTGCTCCTTCTGAGAGGACTTTTTTGGATTTAGATAGTTTATTTCTGCAGATCAGCTGGTCATCTGATATTTACTTCCATTTAAATTACTACTTTTCTGTGCTTTGCCTTATCCTACCCCATGCCCCCTAATACATTGTCATTTATCTGATTTTTGCTTTCTATGCATTAGCCAGTCATAAAACTTGAGAGTTACTCTTAATCTTCTTGCCCAGTTTCACACTCTTATCACCCTTGACAGGCTTAGTTCTTGATGAATAATGTCTTAGTTCTTGATGAATAATGTCCTAGATATTCAGGTTAAGTCCGTACTTAGTTTTTCTGTGAATTCATTCCAGTAGTAAGATAGCCCCTAATATTTATGGGATTTTTTTTTTTTTTCATAAAATGTTAATCTTTTGTCTCCACGTGTTGTCACAACTTCAGGTATCTTCTGTATAGACTGGAAGAATTTCTTTTCCCTCAGTTCTTGGCTAGGCTGCCTTTGACATCCTTGATGCATTCCTGTAGGAACTGAACAGGGTCTTCTATCCCAGCATGAAAGTCAAGCTCTGGCTTCTCCTCTTTTCACCAAGCCCTTCTGAGCTCAGGTCAATATGCTTTGTTCTCGTTTTGACAAGTAGGACATTTCTCTGTTTAGTGATTTCACTCCCATGGTAGGTTGGTAATTTTCTTGTCACTTAACAATGTTTCTGCAGTTGAAAAATCTGAACGTTTGGAAGTCTTAAACCGATTTAAGTCAAGTAATTTTGAAACAGGAATGGAATTAATTAATTAAAAAAAAACACTGGAAGGAGTTAAATGAGTTTGCATTCAGGTCACTGCTTCATTAGGCTCGGGCTGTCTTTTGTAAGAGAAAAAACATAACATACAGTAGCAGTACAGAGAAAAGCTTACCATTGATTAGGGGAGGGAAAAAAATAAATCTAGATTTAATATGGAGAGCAGGAAACATTGCCTATCCATAATTCAGTGGTTCTTTCTTTCTTTCTTTTGTAATCTGTAAAGGAATATGTGATTTGGACATAAGGAGTGATGCAAGTAAAACAAAGACAAAGGTGAAAAACAGTCTGTGGTGGAGCCTGCCAACATATATACAAAAGCTGGATGAAGTCCAGGACTCAAAGAGCATTTGAGTCTCCAGTCTGTGCTGCATTTGGTCCTTTGTGATTTTGCCTATTTCACTCTGGGTTTTTTTCTTTTTTTTTTTTTTTTTTTATCTTCTTCTTGAGCCTCTGTGTTTTTCGTATTATTTAATCTCCCACAAGGACAAAAATAAGATCATTTGGAGTTCAACAGCTTTTCATATTCCAACCCTTATAGAGTAAATCATCTCTAGATGTCATGCAGGGAGGTGAGGAGACATTTTCAGCAAACAGGAGATGGGAGAAGGGAAACAAAAGAAAGGATATGATGGGGATATTTTCAAATAAGTGCTGCAATGAATTTTGGGCAAAATTAAATCCCTGGTTTGTCGTATATCAATATCTGTAAGCTGTGTATACAGAGGACTCTTTGTCTCTCTGCTGTTGCAATTCAGAACCACAAAGTACTTTAAAATGTTTACTTGCTGTGCATGTGGACCCCTCGGTATGCAGGTGACTGCTCTACTGTAAGGCTGCAGGACTGTTCCCTAATCTAGCTCTGAGGGGTTAGCATTTACTTTTGCACAGTTATACATGAAATTTTCACTTTCCTGTTTGTTTCACACCAGTGAAATACTCACTAAGAGTTCGTGTTTATCAGGATATTCCATAATGTAACTTGATCTTGAGAAACCTTGAGAACAAGCTGGCTTTGTTTAAACCAGGTTAGAGGAAGCAAATTGACAGAACTCCATCAAATTTGTTAAAGCAATGCATTTTACCGAAATTGGGGGTGTGACACATAGATTATTACTTTTTTCAGAGCAGCAGGTGCTGCAGGTGTTCCAAATTAATTGTTGTGTTTTGTTTTTTTTTTTTTCCTGAAGAAACACCATCATAATATACATTACTTTTCATGCTTGTTCATTTTTCAATTCAGGCAGGTGGAGAGAAACATAAAGTAGCATTATCAATATTGTGAGAAGGGAAACCAAATTGGTTTCAAAATCCAGGTGGAAGTACAAAAATACTTCTTCCAGTTGTAACAAAAACACAGTCTGAGGGCTATTTTGGGGAGAACCAGAGTACATGGAAGACTTAGGAGAGTGGATTCCAGAGTAAGAAGGAGCAACCCAACTGCCACCACTGCCAACCTTCTTGGTTTTCCTCTCAACAGAGTTGGACTGTTTGAGTTTGTGCACTGTTTTACATGGCAGGTATTTGTACAACTGGGGAAAAACTTTCTGCTTAATTGTCTCAACCCTTCATTCTCTGCTGGTAGAGCAGGTTTTTTTCCTGTAGCATCAGTGACAGGAGGATTACACTTCTAAACCCAGTTCAGACTGTCTCACAGTAAGAGCATAGTGCTGCTATTCATATTTGCACTGGTTCTCATGTGGTTTCCTTGCCAAAAAACAGATGGATCTTTCTGTGTTTTATTTGACTGCATTCTGAAAAGGACATTTTTGTCTTACTTAGATAAGCAAATACCCAGAGATAGCATGGTAAAAAGAATGTAAAGATGTGTGTATGCATTACTTGACGTGTGAATAGGACAAACCCAGCACATTTGTTTCACAAAATTACAGGGATGGGCTTCAGTGGTTTCTCTCAACAAAAATTGTAATAAAAGTGAAAAATATTGTTCTCTAATTTAAAAAATAATAAACAGTACTTTATGAAAATTGGATTTAGGGTAATAAACTTTTTGAAATACTGCAATTCTAAAGCTATAAATGATGGTCCAGTAATGAAATGCTGTTAGTATCCTGCTCCTGTTGAAAGTTAATTGAATTCCACGCTGAAGTGTTGTATTTTCATAATGCCCTCGCACTGTTTGGCTGCACTGTTTAAACCTGTCTGTGGTTTGTGTGCAGAAGCAAACTGGTACCAGTTTACCTTGTCTGCACTGGGAGACTGAGGATTTGCTTCCTTGCCTTTGTTTTTGTGCACTGCACATGGTCTAATTTCGATTTGTATTTCAAGAAATAGCCATTTAAGGGGATCCCATTGCGGGTGCAGCCATCTATGCTGTTCACACTTTCTCTCTTTGGTATCAAAATAAACAAGAGTCCTGTTAAAAGTTGTTCTTCATCAGCTTGTAAACGGTAATCCACGTGCCAGCTTGTTTAGACTTTGTTTCTTTCTAAGGGAGATGCTGAGGAGTAGTGTATAGCTCTTACCAAAAATGGTAGTTTTTAATACTTAAAATTAATATGGGCCACCCAAAAGTTGGTGGCATAGACTGGAGACCAAGCTCGCCTGAGGAAGTGGAGCTTGGTTTAAACTTTGGCTGTCTAGGCTGAAAATCCATCAGAAGAGCTTTGACCAACTTAGATTAGCCTTTTATTTTTAAAGCATCCTTTGCACCATCGCTAACAACGTTATGTTTTTCCCGTGATGCCACTGGCAGGGCCTAAGCAGCACTGAGACTACTTTACTCATCCCTGAGCATCAAGTGGTAAGCAGTAAGCAATATTCATGCTGCCTTGCATGAATTTGTGTGGCGTCTTCTATTACAGTTTGCCGAAACATCCCTCACCGTGAAATTTTCCAGTTTCGAGGATGCCATCCTTCCAAAAAAAAAAAAAAAAAAAAAGGGAATCTTTTCCTAGCGTGTCAATTACGAATGTGGTGTTTGCATTTATTCCTAACGATGGCTTAAAAAAATAAAAATCTCAGCAAATCAAAAGGATAATCGACAAAAATTGAAAAGTTAAGATTGGTGGTGAAAACTGGAAAGTTTGCTTTTTTTTTTTTTTTAATTGTTGTTTTGGTTTGATGGGCTATAGGATATATTCTGACTCTGGTGCTATTAACAAATGTGGGATTCCTTGTTACCATGATAGCCTGAGGGCTCTGTGAGTCAGCATGATACTTTAAAAAGTTTGAAAGAGCAAGACACAAACATTGATACATTGATGGCATTTGAATCACGTTACCTCTTT